CTTGGTTGGTTCTCAGGCAGAAACATCAGGGCAGAATGCTGTGGCAGAGGAAAGCAGCTTACCTCATGGCAGCTAGGGCACAGAAAAAGAGAGAGGAAGTGGCTGTGGACACCAGTGGTCTACTTCCTTCAGCGAGGCACTACCGCTAAGTTCCATCACCTCTCAATAATGCCATCAAATGAAGAATCCCTCAATGCCGGGCATGGCGGTGCACACATACAATCCCAGCACTCAGCAGGCTAAGGCAAGAGAACCGTGAGTTTAAGACCAGTTTGGCCTATACCTTGGGTCAAAAAACCAACAAAAAACTTAGGAATCCATCAATAAATTAATACAGTGATGAAATTAGAGCCTCCATGATCCAATCACCTTCCAAAAACAAGCTTTTAAAGGGGAATTTTTAGATCCAAACTATATATAAACATTTAACTATATCTAACATAACTGCAAGGACTTTCTCCCTTTTTTCCTTTTCTTTTTCTTTCTTTCTCTTTGGGGTAGATGGTATTAGAAATTGAACCTAGGACCCTTGAACTGAGCTACATTCTTCAGCTTTAAAAAAAAATCTTTCTTTAAGACAGTGCTTTACTCAGTTGCCCAGGCTGAGCTCAAACTTGTGATCTTCCTGCCTCAGCATCCCAGAGTGCTGGGATTTTAGGCTCCTATCAGTAACCTTGGCTCACATACATCATTTTCAAAGGGCCTTATTTTCCACATCAACAAATTATCCACTTCAGAACTCAACTATTTATACAGTTTTGTGCCTATAATACTGTCTTTGTGATGTCCTTGTTATAAAGATGAAGGAATTGGGAAGGCGGAGTAAGGGTATCTTGTCTTGGAACGCAGAGGAGTTGGTAGAGAGACAATTAGTACACAAAGTGATGGGGTTTCCTATTTGTAGCACAGCCCTGTAATCACACTTTGTTCTCAGTGTGCCACAGTGCTAACCCAAGCTTATTTGTCCTTCCTGGGCCTGGATTCCATTCAATTCTATGCCTTATTTAGTCAAAACAATTTCCCCAGCTTCAATGTGTATTTTTTTTTTTTGTGCTTCGTTTTAGGAATATCATATCTGCTTTCCACTTGAGTTTGTTTTAGTTCCAATACTGAGGACTACAGATTCTGAGTAAAAGAAATAAAGATAGATTTTTCTAGGTTTTACATTTCAAGAATGGTTTTCTCAAATGGCTAATGAAGTAGATTAGCAGTCTACCTTACTTTCAAATGATGATGTTTTCCATGAGAATTAGACTTTAATTGGTATAATTTGTTTTGAACCGAAAGCAAAGACTTCTAAGAGGATCAGTTTGATAATGTTTTACCAGCTAGTGCTACCAGACCAAATATAAACCAGTTTTGAGAAACAGGAAGTGAACCTGACTAGTCTAGTCTGAGTGTCCCTGGCAGTGACGCAAATACAGAAATCAAATTAGGAAAACAAGGTATGTGGGTGTGAGGCAGTTGATGATAATTCAAGATGCTACAATATAAGCAAGAAAGCCTTTAACCAAATGCGATTCATTTTAATAACACCCCGAGCAGTTTGATTTCCACGTAACAGGCTGGTGATTAGAGAGCGGGATGAGCCTGAGTTCCCTAGCAACCGCATGTGCTTTTGAGACAGTCATTAGCCTTTCTGTTAATCCCATCAACCCCTTACTTCTAAATGTATGACTGACATTTTTAAAAAATGATGTTTCAGAAAGTGCTTTTTAAAATTTCTACAAGTGAAATGGAAAGGAATAATAATAATAGTAATAATAATAATATATAGTGATACTGCGAACTGTATTGGGTGAAAAAAGTAACGTTCCCATGTGCCCAGCAGGTCCCTCCACATCCCTGCTTTCAGCCTTGAGCTTCAGAAACCCCTAGTGCTAAAGGGCAACGGAGGTGAGAGTGTTCCGAGTTGAAGGCAGTCAAGCTACGCGGAGCAGCGTCTCCGGAGCGCAGCTGTGAAGGTGGGGTGGGCGCGGGGTGCGCAGTCTGCAGTTGGTGCGGTGGGGAGGCTGGCAGGGGTTGGGTGGGAGCGAATACAACACGTTTTCTTTCTTCTTCAAGCACAATGAATTATCCTGGTCGAAGAAGCTCGGGGACGGAGGGCAGTGAGAGAGATGAAGCCCTTTTTCCTATTGATCGTTTAATTGCACCAGAGGCTGCTTGTCCAGGGCCACTGGCCAAGAGCATTATTTTCGTGGCTAAAGTGAGGTTGGGCAGGTTTCCCATCCCCTTCCTAGTTTTGAACAAGAAAGCGCAGCAAGGTTAGACTAGGACTATGGGGCTTGTTGGCTTTTGCTGTTCGGGATGACTGGGTGATGTTTCTCCGACCCTGAATCATTGCCTCCAGCTCAGTCCCGAGTTCAGGACGCACAACTCCACCCTCGATGCAGCCTAGGTCAACCGCGGGGCGTTATTCGAACAGTGATCATGGCTGCGTTTGGCCGATCATCCCAATTGCAGCCGTGGTCCCTGTCAGTTGGACACTAGGCTCTTTCACTTGGGCCGAGGTGGCTCCTGCTGCTCCCGCCGCCCGGCCTGACCCCCCTGCGCGCTCCCTTCCCAAGGCGACCACCTGCGCCGCCCCACTTACCCTCTGCCCCGCGGGGAGGGCCCCTCGGGGTAGCGGAGCCCTCCCTACTCCCGGGCGGCTCTAGGGGAGGTCGGTGTTTGCCTCCAGCCCTTCGCTACCAGAGGATCAGGTTCCTCCCCTCCTCCCCCTCCAGCTCCGGCCGCCGCTGCCGCCTCCTTCTTGCATGACACAGCAGAACCGCAGCTGCGGCAGCAAGTCCAAACCATCCGCCCAGGAAGCGCCGCAACCCGGACTCGGGAGGGGCGGAGGGGGTGAGGCAGGGGCCCCGGGCCAGGGGGAGTCTCGGTCCCACTGTGCACCACACACTCCTTTCCCAGCGCAGGGCCACGCGAACGAAATGCGGCTCAAGCTGACCAGGCCGAGCCGTGGAGGAATGCTGGGGCTTGATCGCAGAAGGGATGGGACCAGAGAGCAGGGTGTGAAGGAGACCCCAGTAGGGGCAGCACATTTCAGGTAAAGAAAGGTAAGGAGAGGCCTTGAAGTCAAGGGTCAGACTGTGGAGGAGATGAAAGGAGGTCAAAGAGAGAGGTAAGGAGGGAGAGTTGCTGAGGAAAGACCAAGCTGGGGAGAGGGTGGGGGCAGGGAGCTGTAGGGGAGAGGACTGGGAGGGAATATTGGGGGTTTGGGGAGGCCTGAGCTGAGCACCCAGGCAGGGAAGGGCCTGAGTTGGGAGGGAGGCTGGGGAAAAGAATGACAAACTGGGCATGATACTGGGAGGTAAAAATTCGGGGGCTTATGGAATCTGAAGAGATGCAGTGACAGTCATTTATCATGGCTGAGGAGGTAAGCTGATGAGATGGAAAGAGCACAGTCAAGGCAGGGCCGGCAGAAACCATGATCTTCCATCCCACTCTTCAGTTTCCTGCAAAGTTTTTGCATAATTCCGCCAATCCAGTTTTCCTTCTAAAATGGAAAAGCATAAACCCAAACACAGAAATAGACATCTAGCTTAGATTTATAAGATAAACATCATCATGGTCAATCCACACTTTTAATACAGAGAACTAGGATTTAAGGTAGAAATCCCTAGAAGGGTTGTGAGTCAGTAATACCAGAGAGAACTGAAAACTGTTAGGAGTTTCCACACATCATCGGACTTGAACAGTCTTTTAGAGTTGTTTAATACTTAACGTTAAATTTTGAAAATGAGGACAAAATATCAGAAAAATGCACAAGCTCCCCTCTTCACACCTAGACGTATATGTGTATAATGTCTAGTGTCTACCATGTGTGATCGAGGGGCGAATGTTTTCCTGATTCTTTTATTTCCCAAGAAACAGCACGCATTTTATAGCAGCCATTCTGCTTGTCACCATTTTGAAGAATATGGTCAGAAAAGTAATGCAAAACTGCCACTTTGGTTTTGTCTGTACCTTCCAGGTCATATCTTCATACCTCACTTCCTGACACAAACAAGTTTTTACTGTTGTCAGCAACAAAGCCCTAATATAGCTGCGGAGGAGAAAAACTGCATTGCATTTTTGTCTCCTGTGAGCATCAACAGAGTTACCAGAGGAATGCAATTCCAGAAAGCTTTAAAACTGGTGCTGATGGTAATTATGTATCAAATACCTGACTCTCTGGTATTGTTTTGGCATTTCTACCATTCCTATGGGACTGAACTCACAGAAGGATAAATCTGTGGCTTTTTGTTTGGTTGGCTTTTAAAAAAAAACTTTGTAAAATTTAATCAGGCCGACTAGAAAACTCATTGCTCTTTGGGGAAAATAAAGTAGGAGCCATGAAATGTCATTTTAACAGAGCGTGGGTTTTGTGACTGTAGAAAAGGATTTAAGGTCGCTCCTTCAGTTCGGCTTACTGGTAAGGAGCATAGGCTCCACGCACGTACAGATGCCACAGCTCCCGGATGCTTCTCCGAGCTTCCGCAGCGCTAGAAGCCCCTTCGGGATGCTGCGAGGGCTCCAGATGGGTGGTGGTACAATAGCTGCGGCCGCCGCCGCCGCCGCCGCCGCCGCCGCCGCCGCCGCCGCCGCCGCCGCCGCCGCCGCCAGTCCTGCCGCTGTTGTTGCCACTGCAGTCACGTGGGAGCCCCTTTAAGTTTCCATAGAGAGGCCTCTCCGGTGTCACATGATGGACATGATATAATGAAACAACATTGTGGAGAGGAAAGCATTAGGGGAGCCCACGGCTACAAAAACAAGTGAGTGAGAAGAGGTGGGAGGAAGAGAAACTACGCCACCTCCCCTGTAGCCGAGCGCACGCAGGAGCCTGGCGTGACAAGTGGGCAGAGGCGGGGGCAGGGAGTCGGGGGTCCTCGGCCCGGCCAGGGGACCCCGCTGCCCACCGCACGGCGAACAACTTTGTCGGCAGCTCCGGCCACCAGCCCTGCACCTGCCTCTGGAGTCTCCATCACTCCCCGTGATCATCCCAGGGAAATTCTCGAAGAATGTGTACTGTACAAATCTACGTGCGCATCATTTTCCTCTGGCGTCTCGCTGACTTGGGAGGAAAGGTCGGGGAAAGGGATGGAAGCGGCACGCGTTCCGCCCAGAGGTAAGTTTAGGGGGGTGGGGAAACCAGTCCAGGAGGAGTTGGGGACGGGGATTTTGCTCCAGTCCCACTTCACGGAGCTGAGGCAGATGGGCTCTGGCGTCAATTGGAAATACTTCCCCCGCGGACTCCGCGGACCCCCCTTCGCGCGCTCCGCGTTCCCACCCGCGCGCACCCCCGGCCTTCTCGCCGGCGCCCCAGGGGTCTGCAGCTCCCGGCTGGGGGCTTCGGCCGGCGAGCAGAGGGAGCAGACGGGGCTGTGCGTGAAAAGGGCCTGTCGGAGCTACTTCGCCATGTTTGTGTTGCTAAGAGCACTTTTTTTGCCCTTTGCGGTGGCTTGATGCCACATGGCTCCTCCGGAGCTGCTGCCGGGTAGAGAGCGAGTGTTTTTTTTTCAATGTCCGCATTCCAGCTAATGTTGCGCAGATAAAATTCAAACTTGAGGTAAACAGAAGAGGAGGAGGAGGAGGAGAAGGGGAGGGAGCGAGGAGGGGGGCTGTTTCCATTTCGAGATCCCACCTCTTCACTCGGCGGAGACCGACATCCCGAACCTGGAGACAACTCTCGCCTTTCTCCCACGTCGCCCACCTTTGCTGTCAACAGGAAATCAGGGCAGGGGGCGCGCTTCTGGGAAAGGACGCGGAGTCCGGGCGCTCGGGGACGGCAGCCCGTCGGAGCTCAGACCTCAGCCTCCGGGGGGTCGCAGGACGCGTAGGTTTGCTCTGGCGGTGCGGGGGGTGGGCACGAGAGGGCGCGGCGCCCCCGGGTGGGGCGAAGGGTGTCTGTCCCCCCCTCACTCCCAGGACTTCGGGATACCAGACCGTGTCCCCGCCACCTCACCCCAGGCGCGGGTTTCCCGCTGGCGCGGTGGGTGGGGCTCGGGGTTTCCGGATGGCTAGTCACCTGGTAGGTGTGCGGGTGGCATTTCGGGTGGGTAAGTCTTCTCCCGGTAGAACGGTGGTGGTGGTGGGGAGGGAGACCTTTATAGCGAGCACTCGGAGTCAAACTGCGTCTTCCCTGCGTCTTCCGTTTTGCTTTTGGGGTTTATTTTTTAAATTAGGGGCAAAATTCAAGACCTAGCCCCCGCTGTAATTAAATGTTTCAGCTCGCAGCTGAGCTGCGCAAGTGGCGAGGAGGGTGAGGGTGAGCTTCGTCATGTGGAAACTGCAGGCTCTGACAGCTTGTAGCAGCCCCCCACCCCCGCCAGCCTCGGGCGGAAGGTGTGGGTGGCGTGGTCTGAGAAGGGTGACGTCCGAGGCGGGGTGGGGACAGGCTTGGGATCCCTCTGAGCGTCGGGGTCCGCAGCGCTGTCGGTCGCCCAGCCGCTGTGCCCCAGAGGGGGGCGGCCACGTGAGGGGGTCTGCGGAAGCGACGGAGTTCAGAGCTGAGGGCGAAGTGCGTGGCGGAGTCGTGACGGGGGTGACACGCAGCAGCCGGGGCGCCGGGCCGCGCGCCTCCCACGCAGGGCCGGCGTCCGCGCCGCGGGCGGGTGCGCTCTCGCGGGCCCGCTCCCGGGAGGCCGTTTCCGGGCCGGGCGCGCGGTCGCGGGCGAGCCGGGGCGGTAAACAGGGTGGCGCCCTCTGCCCTCTGCCGGAGCGCGCGGCCGGCGGAGCCCGGGGCAGCACAGGCGCGTCCGCGGCGCGGGGCCGCGGTGGCGGGGGCGCGCGCCGGCTCCCTGCCACCCCCGCGCGCCCCCGCGGCCGCCGGCCGGCCCAGCCCCCTCTGTTTTTGTTTTGATGGAGCCCGCGTGCAGCTGGCGCGTGTCGAGTCACGTGGCCGAGGCGGGAGGGGTTGGGTGAGGGTGCCGGGAAGGGTCGAGGCCCCCAACCGACTTCTTGCGGCCGGTGTCCGGCACTTGTTTGTGGAATTGGCCGCAGTTGGCCCACGGTGAGCAACGTCTGTGTTCGTCGTCACAAGGTTGGTCCAGGCGGGCTTCGTCCCCTCCATGTGGGCTGGAGGGGCCGTCGGCCTGGGGTGATTTGCTTAGAAAGGGAACGGACGTCACAGGTGTGTGTTTTACTGAAAATGTAGGACAGATTTCTGTGCAGTTTTAAATCCTGCTTATTAGGAACAACTGAGAGCCTTAAAAAGAACTGCCATACCTAGACAGACCTAAATCAACGGATCCAAATCCAAAGAGGGTCTGGACAGATTGTGGCTTATACAGCCACTTCTGAGGCAGGGCAAGAACAAAAATTTTCGGAGGTAACGAAGTAGACTAATCCTCCATACTCAAGAATAGCTGGAATTTTGTAGTTAATATTGATCTGTTACCATTTGGGGTCTCTCCGCTAGGCACTGTGGCTTTGCAGACGTTTATATACGCAGTGAAATACTGTTGTCTTCGGCTTACAGTTGGAGGAATGGAAGTTCAGGAGGTCAGGTGAGAGTGGATCTCTGAGGGGGGCAGATCCAGAGCCTCTGTATTTTCAACCATTACTTGCTGTCCTGGGGAGGGGAGTACTTTTTAATTTAAGAGCTACTTTAGGGCCAGTGAGTCCCTATGTGTACATATCTACTGTTAAGGTTTTCCTTTTGGTGAAGAATGCTTTATTGGAAAGGGTGGAGAATCACTTGATGAATTCTTCAAGGCCTGCAGGCTATCTTTTGAAGAAGTTTAATGTGAGGAGAAGAGTAAAGGGTTTTAGTGATTTGAAGAAAACAGGTTTTCCCTGCAAATGTTTTCTTTGGGGAGTTGAACACTGTGTAAAATGAATCTAGAAGACGCTGATGTTGTAAAATGAAGAGTCTAGAAGACACAGATGTTTTTCAGGCATTTACAGGCGCATCCAAAGAGTCCTTAGGTTGTTGAACACTACATAGTTACGGCGCCCACAGCAAGTTTTGGGGGAGAAAACAACTCTTTTGGAGTATAGAAATTTTACTTTTACATTCTTCCTTCACCCCTTCTTCACTGTGTCTTTTGTCTGTGGGAACATTGAGATGCGGGGATAATCTTGTTTTGAAATTGTACATTGATATGATCTCTAAGGGTGTTCCAAATAAAACAGTAAAGTGAAGTTTCCCTTTGAAAACAAAGAATTCGGGTTGTAACAGTTTGTGAACCAAAATTGTGTAGAGTGTCATAAAAAATCTTTCTAATATTCTTACTAAGTATTGCTGTCAAACTCGTGTTGTTTGGAGATTTAAGAGGTGTTTCCATCACCGGCCATTTTGGTGTGGAAAGTTTACGGATACACCCTGGCAGACCTGATCACCGGTGGAAATGGCTCTGTAGCTCCGTCTCCCTCCCTGCATTGTTCACTCCCATCTAGTCAGCGCCAGGGTTGCTTTTCTTTTCACCATACATACCGTTGCACATCTCTGCTTAGTTTGCACTTCTGCATTTTGGGTACTTTCCTTATGTAAAGTTCTCCGATTTCTTCTCAGAAAGGTATTTGAAAACACCCTTTCTGTGTCATCTCCATCTGCTAGCACACTTGTCTCATTGTATTTATCCCAGGATGTCGTGTTGTATCTGTTGAATAAAGGGGAAGGAAGAAATGCCACAATAGCAGTGCACATACTTTCATGGGCCCTAGCAGAGTACCAGTACTTCCTCATAGTTCACTGCACCATAGCTTTCAGACTTAGTATACAAAGTTATTTTAGAGCTGCACTGTCCTAGAGAGTTTTCTGTGTTGGAGAAATGATTTTTTAGAGTTGCATAATCCGGTGCATTAGCTACTACTTGAGGCCGTTGAGTACCTTAAATGTGGCTAGTGCAGTGTAGGAAATTAATTTCTAAAGAAGATAGCCACTAATACAACATAATTAAAATTTAAACTTGATGTTTCACAGGTGAATGTTTAGGCTGTGTATCTTGCCTTTAAAAAAAAATCTTGGTTCATCCTCTAGGGCTAAAACTAGTGCTTCCCATTTGTAGATTATAAGGTGCTTGGTTAGTGATTTTTGTGGTTCTGGAGGGTTGAACCTTGGGTCTTTACACTGAGTTACAGCTCAGTCCTTTATTATTTTTTTATCCTGAGACAAGATATCACTAAGTTGCCTCGGCTGGGCTAACACTTAAAATCATCGTGCCTCACTTCCCCAGGATTCTGGGATTACATGCCCTTGTGATGGTGATCAGCTAAGTGATATATATATGTGTATATGTATGTATGTATATGTAAATATATGTATGTATCATTTATGTGATACATATATATATATTTTACCTATATGAGGCCTTCATTTTCATAAAGCCCTGTCAGTTATCTGTGAGTTGTTTATGTACAGTAGTTCATGTGGCTCTCTTTTTCAGCACAGTGGTTGAGGGTAATTATAATTAAGAGTAATTATTTACAAGTGGATGTGAGGCCTTCGTATGTACACCAAACGAAAGTTACGTAAGTTGATACTTTTCTAAGATATGATGTATGAGGAGCAGAATCTTGCTGGCCACTGTATTTGCAGTGCTTTGTGTGATGCTTGACACATAGCGAAATTCACAAATATTTCTCGAGCAAATTGATGTTCAAATAATGTAGGCCTTCTGGGTGTACTGCGGAGTTAAGGAGAATGCTGAAGACAGTAAGTACACTGATCACATTGTTCCCAGGCATGCAGTCTTTCCAGGAGCATCATTTTTAACTATGACTTTGGTTTCTTTCCTGAAAGATCTGTAGGAGAAGTTTTTACTCTTATTTGATGACAAATTGAAAAATAAAATCACGAGATTTGGTGCTCAGGTCATTACAGAACGTTAGGAAGTATTAATGAAATTGAAGTGGTCTTTCTGTTGCTAGGTGCACTTGTCCATGTACTTTCACAGGGAAGGGGAGCATGCCCTGAACTACGTTAGTTAGAAAAGCTTGCTTGTAAATGAAAAGGTAATTGTGTATGTTAATGGAGTCTGAAAAAGAGGACTGAAATAGGTCTTTTTTGGTATGGCACTGAAAAAATAAATTCAGTATGGAAACATTTATTCTTAAACCTCTAAATCTGAATCTGTTAGTTCTAACACCAAAGCTATAAACTTCTCCAAGAGGATATTTAAGGCATAAATAGAAGCAGATGTTTAATTGTGTAGATAACTATTACTGGACTTTCAAATATTTATATAAAAAGGTATGTGGGTGACACATCAAACATCTGTTTAACAATAGCCCAAAGGCCGAAAATTGTAATTTTATTACATGTGGTAAATCTATACTTGGTTGATGATGCAAGCATGTGGTTTAGTACTTTCAGGAGATCCATCCATGTGGTGGACCTACCTTGTGCAGCTCTATTGGCCAGATTGTTTGTTGTTGTTGTTGGTACTGGGGATCAAACTCCCAACCTTGTGCTTGCCAGGCAGACACTTAGGCCACTGAGCTAAATCCCTGCCCCTGTGGGCCAGATTTTAAGCCTGCTTTATCTGCAGCAACTTAGTCCTGTCTTCCTGTCACTCTGCCACTCCCTGTTCTACAAATGAGGACTAATTTTATAATAAAGTAAAATACAAATGAAAATACAGGTCTGTTGTCAGAGAAATTTGTAGAATACATTCTGAGATAAGTGCTGGGGGTGAAGGCTTCTTTTTTCAGCGCTAGTGCGTTAGTTCTTTAAGAATGCTTTTGGAATCTTTCTGGTGTGAACTTTTTTGGTGGAGAAAGAAATACCAATCAGTAAAAACCTCCCCCTCAAAACAAACTGTCAGCAGTGTTTCCCATTAATTCCTACTGTTACCTTTGAAACCAAACCAAAACACAGCCATAACAAGGCAGAACA